CACCTTTTGGGGATATCAGATCCTTGGGAAGCGCCAAATGCCCCGTATCTGGCCCACAAGGAATACAGCGATTAGTTGAAAGCAAAAATTCGTATAGATCGAGCAGCTGATTGGACCGATTGCTAGCATGTCGTCGAAGGCATTCATCTATGAGGTGGCAGACAATGGGATTCCGAAGCTCTTCGGGTATTGTCGCGATATTCGGGAAAAAGACGTCTTGGAGAAACTTTTCTTGTGTCATCGTACGTTGGTCGATAACTTCCATACATCCAGCCTGTTGAAATCCTTTCTTGGCAAAGTCTGGAAGTTGTACTATTTTGTAATCAAACTTTTCAAGGACGATCTCACTATTCGGAAGCTCCCGTAACTTGAGGTCTTGGTAAATACATTGAGTCACTGGGAGCCATTTCCCTCCAGTGCGCACTAAGGGTAGGTCACAACTTGCGATTCTTCGATAAAAGCTCTCAATGAGCGGTTCCCATGCGGATGATTGAAGTTTGTCTGGATTTGGCCAGAGCGTGAAAACATCGTACAACGGGATTTTTCGTTGTGTTTGCATGAGAATCATATTTTCCAAGAGCTGAACATAGGCGTGAGTCAACGCATCCTCAATGAGGCTTTGGTTCCACCGCACTTCTAAAGGTTGACGGCCGACATCGGCTGTAGTTCCTTCCCAGATTCCTCGACGGTTTGATGTGACTGCAAAGTAGCCATTGACATGTACTGGAAGACCAGTTGTAATACTAAGGGGAAGGAAACAAAACATTTCTCCAGGTACTGCCTCTACTTTTTCGAAGCCGTCGCCTTTGGTGCAAATCTTTGCCGCCACTCCTGAGGCAGATAAGAGTCCCTGCTTCTTGCCCTCCTCACTTGTTGCAAGCTGAAAGGAATTTTCAGTACCAAGACAAGAGGTCACAAGCCAAGACTGGGTTTCTTGACACCTCTCTTCATTCATACGACAAATGGTGGAACACACAGATATGAGCTCCGTTAGTTTGGGAGATGGATACCTGGCAAAGGGTTGGACTGACTAGTGGACTGTCTTGTCCATGCCGCGCATGACTTAAGAAAGGTACTTTCCGTTACAAAATTCTTAGCTGGTGAACATTCTGTCTGACTTTTTCTGCAGATCTCAAAGAGGAGTCGCGAGTCTTTAGAATCAGCCGCATTTTCATCCACTTCAAGGAAGGACACCTTTGTAATATTCTGTGAAAACAAAAGAAGGGTCGGTGACGATTCTCGGAAAGAAAACATAAGCGACCGTATTTCCTTCTTATTGTAGATCTTATCACTGATTTCGCCACGCTTAGTTCGGAATGCAAATCTGAAGAGAGTCCCTTCAAAGTAGAACTTGTCATGATCACTAGGTGGAGTAGTGTCACAGCCAAAAAGCCCATTGAAGGGTGCAAACTGGTCAGGAAAACAGGTTAAACTGTTCTCATTTACCGCCAGATCTATCTTTATTCCAGGCTTCGAAACATCGCTTATGTGGGAGCCAAGATGTGTTGCTTCTGGATCAAAAAAGACAGCATAACTTCTGGTAATGAAACTTGGAACATCAGTGAAGTGGTAAACGGAACTGAAACCAAGACCAAAGCGACCAATCTTCTCAAGATCCTCCTTTTTCGTGGCTCCTGCCAGTCTCGATATATTCTTCAGATCACCATCTGTAAAGGTTGCATTGTTATATGCTAACAGGGCGGGACCTTGGCATTCTACCATTCCCGGTGACAAAAGCCTCTGGTTTGGGTGATTGCGCCAGTCAAGAACAAACTGAACTTCTGTTGCACCAGCATCATCTGCATTCTGCACTAATTCCTTGAAAACACCAACCCCTTCTTTGTACTCGTTCAGAATATTCTTCAGCCTCGTGGTAATTGGCTCGTGAGGACCTGTTTGCTCGATACCTAAAGCCTCTGCACAAGTGACACGGGTGCTGATTGGTGGAACGCCAAGCAGAGCAGCGGTTTTGGAAGAAATAGCCTCGTGGATCATCGGAAATTCGCTTGTAATGAGAAGTTCTGTCCCTCCTTTTCTAAGCCACTCCGCGTCACAAAAAGTGCACTTCGAACATGGAACCAACTTTAAGGTATTATCCCAGGTGTGAATCGGCACCAGAAGACTTTCTCGAAGTTCTGGTTTGAGTTTCTTTCCATCGCGAACTATCCAGTGGAGAATCTCATGTGACAGCTTTCGATCATCTGCCACGTCTTTTAGATAGTCACTGCTGGTGTTATGTTTGTCTTTTATCATTCTCAGAACACGCAACAAATCGGAATCTTGAAATTTTTCACGAACACCGCATCGCTGGAAAAAAGGGTTGAGTATTTGAAATTCTCGTGGAACTGTGTACAGGTAAGGCCTCAAGTCGATTCTGCAGCAAGATGTAAATGCTATCTTTGACGGTGATGAAAATCCGTTCCCATGCCAAACCCACTCAGGAAAACTGTTATCCTGGTGTACAGCGTCGATGAAGCTGGCATTGCTGGATCCTTCTTCGTAGATCTGCTTTAACATCACTTGAAAATGATACAGAGCACTCCCGTTCATGTCATTCAATCGTACCAAACAAGCAGAACGCAACTGGTTTAGAAGGTGGTGGACAGGTGGCGATTTTTCCCAACCAAAAACAGCCTCTAATGCTTTGGAACAAGGTTTGGAGACTATTGGTACTGAAGCTCCTACAAGAGTAGCTTTCGATTGGCTGAACGTTTCAGATGGTTTGTATAAATGCTTTTTTCCTGAAAACCAAGGCATCACACCAGGATAAGAGGAGGGACGACTCTGCTTTCTTGGGACCCATCTCTCGTTCATCAAAGTTTGGCCCAAGGACTTGTCAGGTGGGTTTTTGTCAAGGAACTCTAACAGAGCTGATGCTTTACGGGATCCCACATCGCTCTGAATCTTATCAACTGTTTTAGCAACATATAGAATGTCCTCTTTATTTGGAATACTCCTCATACCAAGTTGTCGAAGACGTAGAAGGATTTCTTCTTTGACGAAACTCCCATTTGGAAATTTGTCGTTTTCGCTCTCAAACAGTTGCTCCAAAATGGATTGTTGTGGATCTAGAACGGAACATGGAGTAACTAACTTATCACTCCTGGTGAGCACAAAGGGCAGTTGTTGAAGAGATGCATGGAATGAGCTGTCTTCCCCGCAAAAAAGGGAATACTGGCTAAGTACCCAGCACATCAGCGTAGAGATCTGTTGGTGATTATAGAAATTGCTCTGTATGCCACTAAAGACAATGTTCCTCAGAAAGGTTGTTTTTGTCATCGGTGAGATTCCAAGTCTGTGAATTAGGGTATAAGATTGGCTATCTTTTAAGGCAATGACCGAGGACGCTCTTGGTATTGGCAAGGATTGAGGAAGTTTGAAGTCATAGGGTGACACTCCATGAAATTGAAATCCATTTCTTAGAGCAATGAAGGAGTATCCATCTGCTGCATCAAAAATAGGAAGGTCAAAAAGGAGGTTTCTTTGATCACCACTTAGGGACGCGGAAGAGAGGAAACTTCGAAGCGCTCGCTTCTCATCTGGGGAACAACGTGTAATCGCTGATATGCACTTGCTTTGACCCAAGGTACAAAAGATCTTTACGACGTCATGGGGATCAGGTGTGCCAACGTATCTATCAAGGGTGTTGTGATAAATGTACGATGGAAGATTTTCTAGAACAATGCAGCCAACTTTTCCAAGCAAAGACACAATAAGCGGCGGTAAAGAGATACTCTGGTAATGTCTTCTGATAACTACACTTGATGAACTAAGCTTCACTATGCTTCGGTTTCCAGCACATGTGTGCGGAATAAGCGGGAGGTTTTCGAGCAATGAGAGATCAGTGGGGAACATTCCGTGAATCCACATCCATACTGACTCCAACCAGTGCTCTGGTGGATGCCCATTTTTTCCTGGATACCAAGGTATTGAATGATTTCCCCCAGACCACTCTGATGGAAGCATCTCTCGTAGAACCTTCACAGCAATGGTTTGGTTTAACTTGACGAGTTGCACTGGTTCGATTGTATGTGGATTATTAGCATCAGTGGCAACCTTCGACAAATATGTAATGGCAGGTGTTTGAACGTTGTCGTCGAGGAACTTATTGTCCATGTTGTGGAAAATGGAACGGGGATTGCTCGTTGACGAAACGTACACAGCAGCGGCTGGTTCTCGGTAGTACTGGATTGAGCGGAAATCAACAAAACTTCCATTTGCGAGAGGCAAAAGGGGAACACCTTGCATGTCGCCCAGGTTCTTGTCTGCGAGAGCAAATTCTAGTAGTAAAAGCTTCATTTTCTTTGGTACATTGGTTATCTTCCAAACTTCCTTTTCCTTCTTTTTCAGCAGAGCTCTCAAGAATTCGGGAGTGATGCTCTTCGTAGGTACTGAACTGTATTTATCAATCGCAATCATGACGTGGCTCGGGACATTTACAACAGCCTCATTTGCTTGCGTCAATGTGTCTAGAACTGCGCGTCTTGTTTCATCGGATGTATTCTTAAATTGGGTTGTCATTCTGTCAAGGTAGGCGTCACTAAGGTTTTTCCACTGACCATGATGTGCAGGGGTCCAGAGGATGTTTTCTTTTAATAATATCGAAAACATGTGCTCTAGCATACAATGCCAGTGTTTTTCAACTTCCTGAATGTTTGGCCATGACTTGTACACCAAATCTGCTCCATCTGAAGAATCACATGAATCTCTAAGAAGGAGCAACACGTTGGCGTAGGCCTCACTCGCAACATGCTGCACCAGCGACACATTCCATTCTGCGGTTGGATCATCCTGACAGTCAAGGCCTGGCCATTTAAGACCACGCCGATTATCTGTGAGGCCAAAGTAGCCATGGACGTGAATCGGCAACCCTGTCCTGGAGTCAGCGTCTGGCGGAAGTGGCAAGAAGCAGAATATTCTTCCAGTTCTTGATGAGAGAGCTTGAAGTTTGGCTGCATTCACTGGTGTGGCACAGGCCACCCAAGGCAGGAGACCTAACTCTAGGGACAATTTTTTGAGAGTTGAATTTCGAGCATCAACCTGGTGGTACACAAGCCATTTATTTTCCACCTCTCTCCTCCTTCAGTCTTTTCAAGGACATGCAAATCCAGAGAAAGATTGATGTTTTTAATTTGCCCGTCGCTCAGCCTTCTCAAATTATTCAAAAAATTTCTCTTCTTCTCTCTAACTTCTTGCCGGCAGCTGTCACTCAGTCGAACTGTAAAGACATGTCTCTTGACGCCTCTCTCATCAGTTTCAAACAGAGAAATTTCTTCAATGTTTTTCAAGAAGAGCAGGATGACAGGTGCTTCCTCTTTGAGGGCCTGAAATAATTTGCGAACTTTTTCCTTGCTGTAAACCTTTTTGGATAAGTCTGACGGTGCACTTCGTAGCGGAAAACGAAACAAAGTTCCATTGTAAAATCGAGTCGAAATTTTGCAGTCTAAGACATTCTCGTAAGGCTTGAACTGGTCTTCGTGATTTTCAAGGAGTTCATCCTCAAGGGAAAATTGCTGTCCCGTTTCCCCTCTACCAAAGTGTATTTCGTGAGGATCAAGAAATACAATACAATCTCCACTCACGATGCTGGGCAGATCTAAATTATGTGATAAGAAGTAACCAGTTTAGTAAATATAATTGTCTCATTATTAAGTGCAGATACTCGATCTGTTTCAACACGCACGTTTAAAAGATGTGCAGTTGCTAAATTGAACGGACGATTTTAGAACGTAACTTGTCATGGTTTTTTTTCCTAGACGCAAGGGAAAATTTCTCGGCAAGGATTTCCGCTCTTCTGTTTCCAGTAAGTTTCCAGTAAGTTTCTTTTTGCACTGCAATCCGAGAATTTGATGATCTGCCACGATGTCACATGGTAATGATTTTTATAATCCTTAAAGAAACTTACCAGTCAAATGATAAACAGAATTGAAGCCAATTCCAAATCGACCAACTTTTAAAGGGTCATTCTTCTTATTGCTATCCATTAGTTTCTGCAAGTTTTCCCAGTCACTTTCCTCGAACAGAGCATTGTTCTGAGCATATAAAGCAGGGCCCTGGAACTGAGAAAGACTGGGTGCGACAAGAGAGTTCCCTCCGTAAAAGTCCTGACGCGAATCAAGGAGAAAGGACACTTTAGTGGCGCCTGCGTCATCTGCATTCTGAATAATTTCCTGAAAAAAGACAACATAACCCAGGTTTCAAATAACGACAAGGTAAACAAGAACGAAATGAATGTCATAATCCTCGATCTTTGTACTACCTTTTATTCATGTACCACAACATTTATTTTATGTTGACTCGTTAGCACCAGTTTTTCTTGTGTGACCGCTTGTGTTTTAAAGTCATGCAATTATCACCAACGTTGAATCAAAGTAAGGAGAGTTTTTCTCCTTTTACAAAAAAAAAACAGCAAAGGGAAACAAAACAAAAACATCTAATAGGATTTAAAAGGGTCCCATGTATCTCTGCTTGGTACATTAAATATGAATTATTTTACCCTCAAGCAAAAATGTAAGCTGTCACAGACATATCACTGTTGAAGTCTCCTTTTACAGGGAAATAAATTACCTTCGGTCACGACTCAGATAAGGTTTCGGTTTCTCTTATTGAATTAATCAATTCGTCAATCGATTATTACTGTGGAAGACCATTCTTCCTCCTCTCACTGTAATCAATAATTTTGAACACTCCATTACTGCTGATGTATTCCCAGTCCAGGATTACCCTCTATTCATTAATTTATTTGACAGAAACGAAGCCTTAATCTTGCTCTTTTAAACCGGGTTGACTGTACAAGTTTTTGCTGATCTGATGCAATGCTGAGAGAAGCATCATCATTCATACCTTTAAGATTTGTCCTCCATCTGGGTATCTTTCCAAGATACTTTTCAAAATGTGGGTTAATGGAGGTCTCCTTTGGCCATAGGACTTCCCTGTTATGGCAAAGAAACAAAACGGTTGTAAGAATTAGCAAAACGAAACTAACCAGCAAAAGAGTATAACAAGTTAATTTACTATTATCAGCTAAGTTGATAACGTAAATTAGCCACCGTAAAGAGTTTAAAAGCGAACGTTTCGAGCATTGGACCCTCCGTCAGTGGGATTGGAGGAATTGTGGGTTGTGTGTGTGTTTATATCTAGTGCAAGAGTAACTACCTACAAACATAATATGACCTCTCCAGCGAGCCAAATTGTAAACTGAATTCTTGGATAATCTTGTTTTCTGTCATTTATGTTCTTTATTAAAATTCTTAACTTGACTTTGATAGATTGAAGAAAATGCTCGCATCGGTAACTATGTGGATCATGAGGCCGGTTTAAAAAAAATGTTATTAACCTTTTCAGAGGTTAAATTCTAACAACATTCGAACTTTAGTGGCTTCTCAAGATCACAAAGCTTCCGCTATTTATTTAAGTTCCTTCAACGGTACTGGCGAGGGATACTTACGTTTAAAGTGAATTCGAACAGAAATTCACTTCAGAGTTAAAATCTCAGTTCCTCTTAAGACCCAATATATTTAAGTTCAAGGCGAAAAAAAACAACCTTCAGCTTTGAAATGTTTAACATATTTCATGTGCAAATACTCCCCATAACTAGCATTTACCTTCACTTTCCTTAAAGGGTGTAAAAAAGAAGATACGTTTTTGATAAAGCTATCGCACCTTCAAAGTCCTATGGCCCCATTAGATTACAGCTAGGTTTTTTAGAAACAAAAGGCTTCATAGCTTACTCGGAAGTAGATTAAATATAGACCATAATCTCGTAAACATCAGGGATTATTTTTCTCTGTTTTCCCAAACATATTCTAGAATATTGTCATATTTGATGCTTATAACGATTACATGGTTAAAAATTTTGCTGTTCAGTTAACCTAAAGGATTGAAGCCCTTGTGCATGTCAATAAATTAAGGGCGCACTGAAGTAAAATTTCATCGCTTACCTTTAACAGTTTTGCGAGGCTGCGCTGCCATTGTGTTATTCGAACATCTTCGATGGAAGCTTAGAAACTTCGTCGCTTTGATTTTTCACTGTGATAGAGACGAAAAAAAACCTTGAGCTATAGATGGGCACTTTTTAAATATTAATAAATCTATGGACAATCTTAATGTGCAACAAAATGTTTGAATAGAATGTAGGTCAGATGACTAACTCATGCGTTTCTATAAAACTGTTCGGCCAGCTACGACTCACCTTACATCTCTATAAATTAAGGAGAGGCCTTTGCAATTTAAACGACCGATTGAAGAACTAATTTCATGTGTTTTAAAGATGTATCTATTAACTGGAATGGTGGAATGTTCTGGTTGTATCCTTCGCCCTGCTATTCAATATGATTATTTGTTAACCTACTCAACAAAAGGTCTTACTTCTGATTGGATGAATGTATACGGGATCCTTCCGAAGATCCATAACAAAGTATTTCGGAAAATATTTATGACTTGTTTCGCCTGTCAAATTTTTGTTTTGAAAAACCAGTTCAAAGAAACACAAGCGTTTTGTAAACTGTTGAAAAGTGTGTCCACCAATGTGCCCTGTGTACGAGGGAAGAAGAAAAGGGAGGGAAAAATCGCATAAACTATTTGTGTCTCAGAATTTTTCGTCGCTCAGTGGTCATCGATGAGCCAAAATATATTTCAAACAGCTGACTACCGCAAGCTTTTAGCAATTCGGCGATTTCCATATGGAAAGAGATTGGTTTCTGTTGGTTGTGTTTCAGATGCTTCACCGTTTGCATGGGTCTTTTCACTTCAAATTTTCGGTCATATCCAGCTCCGAGTGCGTCGATCGGTACGCTGTTTGAATGCAAAGAACCCCTTCACTTACTTCGACGACATTAATACTCATATTGCTGGTGATATTGACCTAGGTTTCTGTAGACAGTTAACGACGTTTGCTAAAGAAAGCTTAAGGCGGTTCATGAAGAATCTAAATTCTAATCGTATATAGAGTGAGTTCGCTCATTTCACTCATATGTAAAACGATACCAATTTATCATATTTAAGTCTGCAAATTTCATTCATTGTAGATATCTTAAGGTTGATCACGGAAATAATTTCAAGTCCCGACAGATAGAGTATATAATGCATCTGGAAATTTTCAGTACGTACAGAAGTAAATTGGTTTCCGACCCTCCAAGAGAGCAAACATCGTCAATCGCTTTTGATTATAATTTTCAACGTATTACCAGCAATGGGAAAGGAATTTGCGAAATGCCTTCAATGAACGCCGACTTTGCCGATGTAGGATCCTCGATATTTGCGGGCCCTACTGCTATCAGTCGGAAAAAAAAACCGGTACTGGTTCTAGAAACTAGTGAAAAATAGCTAAAAGATCTACAATTCCAAGCTGTAGCAGGCACGTTCAGAGGGATCGCAGAGTTTGACTTGTCAGCATCCAAGGACGGAAGTGTAACCTTCCTCAAAGGAGTCCCAAAGCTCGGCCGAGAAGCTTAAAAAGTCTTACGATTGTTTACTTCACCGAAAATATTTCCTGTTATGACTGGATCGTTTCCCAGAAAGCGGATTCCTATTACTTTTCTATTCACGAAGCTTGTAACTTGTCTGCCTTGCGATCTTGGACTGGGTCCAAAATTGGTCGAGTCGTGAAGCAACTAGATTTCGCTAGAGTTTAAGCGCAATTTAATAACACTTACCTTAGTATTCCTTGCTTTAGCAAACATCCATTCCAACCACTACGAATTATAGCACTATTTGTCGCCGAAAAATTGAATCAATTTCCTTAACTACGCCGCTTGATATTCCCCGAAACCCATTATGTAAATAGCCGACGAATTCTGAGAAAATGACTGTTCTCCGCCAATCATAGTGTGTAGTACGCCATTGGACTTCACGACCGGAAATCGAAAATGATTCTCAGAACCCAGTCATGGATTCTAGGAATTGGCTTAGTCAAGCGAATAAAGCAATGTTTATTAAGATTGGGCGATTATCATGCTAAAATGTCTGTTTAATCGCATTCAAGACCAGGGCTTTGGGTTGCAGATAAAATCAACAGTTCTCTACGATATTGCAACCTGAAACAAACATTACGCTTCGAAAAACAAACATTGCTTTAAGCTTGTTTTGGAATTTCTTATACAGTGGAGAACAAGTGAGCCTGTTAGTACTTGGTCACACGTAATTTTCACTCGACGTTGATTAAAACAATTGACTGCTGATAATAATTTTATTACGCTACGTTACACAAACTATGGTCACATCTGCCATCTTATGTTACATTCATTCAATGTTTACTCACGCGTGAATTGGAATCTTTTTAAACAATTCAATTTTTATTTAGTTCTGTTAACGAGGGTTTGTGACTAATTGGAGGCCAGTTTCACTTCTTATATGTATTGTAATTCTTATTCTTATTCTTATATTCTAGGATGCGATTAAATAGACATTTAAGCATGGTAATCGCCCAATCTTAACAAATATTGCTTTCTTTGTTTGACTAAGCCCATTCCAAGATTCGAGAATCACTTTCTATTTCCGGTCGTGAAGTCGAATGGTGTACCGTACACTATGATTCTCAGAATTCGTCTGCTATTTACATAATAGGTTTCTGGGAAGATCGAGCAGCATAGTCATGAGGAAATTGAATCAATTTTTTGGCGATAAAAAGTCTTGTAGTTCGTATTGATTGGGATGGATGTTTGCAACAGCGAGGAATATTAGGGTAAGTGTTAGTTAATTGCGCTTCAACTCTTTGACGAAATCTAGTTGCTTCACGACTCGACCAATTTTAGACCTAGTTCAAGATCGTTGGGCAGCAGGGCAGACAAGTTACAAGCTTCGTGAATACAAAATTAATAGGAAATTCAATTTCTGGGAGACGATCCAGCCATAATAGCAAATATTTTCGGTGAAGTAAACAATCGTACGACTTTTCAAATTTCTCGGCTGAGCCTTGGGAACTCTTATGAGAAAGTTTACACTTCCTTCCTTGGATGCTGACAAGTCAAATTCTGTGATCCCTCTGAACGTGTCTACCTCACCTTGGAATTGTTTTTTTTTTTTTTTTTAGACTGAAAGCAGTAGGGCCCGCAAATATCAAGGATCCTGCATCGGCAAAGTCGGCGTTTATCAATGGTATTTCACAGATTCCTCTCTCATTGCTGGTAATACGTTGAAAATTATAATCAATGGCGATTGACGATGTTGGCTCTCTTGGAGGGTCGGAAACCAATTCACTGCCGTACATACTGAAAATTTCTGGAAGCAGGATATACTCTATTTGTCAGAACTTTAAAATATTTCCATGATCAACCTACTTAGGACATCTGCAGTAAATGAAATACGCAGACTTAAATATGATAATCTGGTATTGTTTCACATATAATTCTAGGATGTAAATTGCTAGTGAGCGAAATGGGCGAACTCACTCTATATACGGTAGGAGTTTAAATTGGTCATGAACCGCCTTCAGCTTTCTTTAGCAAACGTCGTTAACTGTCTACAGAAACCTAGGTTAATATCACCAGCATTATGAGTATTAATGTCGTCGAAGTAAATGAAGGGATTCTTTGCATTCAAGCAGCGTACCGATCGACGCTGTCATAAATATTTTCCGTAATACTTTGTTATGGATCCTCGGAAGCTTCAATTTCGAATGATCCCGTATATGGAAGCCGTCATGGTGTAAAATTCAACAAATTAAATCGCTGCCAACATCAACATTTACTGTTAAGGTCAACGATAAAATCTGTCCAACTTCAACAGCTAATATCAATATAAAACACTCCAAACACACTAAATCCAACAACCAAAGTAACTCAATTTCAACACAAACTCTCCTAGTTTGCAGCCCTTGCGAACCACGTCAAAATCTACACGATATAAAGCTTCAAGTTCAACAGCAAAACACGTTCAACAATTGGGGTACGAGCGATTGGAAATAGCCGAGAGTTCTTGGGAACAAGTTATTACGTCTACGAGAGTGAAGCAAAGGGGCGTTTTGTTGCGCATGTTCTGTAAATTTTAGTTTGATGCCAGAAACCGCTGGTATGCGCCTGCGTCGGTTTTCCGCCCAAGCATCGCGAAAGAAAAGAAGCAGGAAAATACGTCGGAAAACAATAATGGATCGAGTATTTGAGACAACTTTCTTGTCACTTTTCCCTCTGTAACTAAGATGGAAGTGGCAAAGTCTTAAAATTGTTGTGTGATGTGTGGAAGTTATTTTCAAAAAGCAAAGGATTGTACAAACGACTTCGACTCTTGTCTTGTAATTGTTTGGGCAATCGATGTAGATGATGTTATTTGGGTAATTGTGAAGAAGAGCTCCCCAAAAAACCTGTCGGCCGACAGTCGGCCGACAGGTTTTGCCTGAAATATAGGCTACCTGTCGGCCGACCGGCCGACTGTTGGTAATGTGTCGGTAACCTGTCGGTAGCTTGTCGGTAGCTTGTCGGTAGCTTGTCCGTGAAACGTTAACACAAACCTTAATGTTTTCTCTCGGTTTTCGCTTGAAAACGACATCCAACATGTTTAATACGTTGACAATTGCCTTTCAAGATTTGGTGGCTCCTAAAGGAGCCGTTTTGTGAGTGGTGAAATATACAAGATATTTCACTCGTAGAATCGTGCCTCGCTTGATACAACATCCAACATGTTTAATACGTTGACAATTGACTTTCAAGATTTGGTGGCTCCTAAAGGAGTCGTTTTGTGCGTGGTGAAATATACAAGATATTTCACTCGTAAAATCGTGCTGCGAACTTCATTGGCAACAGCTGCCCCTCTCTCCTCATGTTGCTCATGACCGGGATGTAGCGCCGAAGTCTTTTGCGACAGGCAACCTCCAGATCCCGCACCGATTGAACTTCTTGGTCGCGGAGGACGAGGTCCAGTTTTACAAACAAACGGCTCCTTTAGGAGCCACCAAATAAAAAAAAGTCTTGAACCGACAGAACCAACATGTGTATTGTTCAACATTAGATTAGCGGCGCGCGCCTAAATCAATTATCGCA